GATCTGTTTATATTGTCACCACTGTAAACATCGCACGAATCGCACGCGTACACAATCATATTGCAAATTAGTGACTTCGTATGTTCCGCTCAAATCGAATTATAGTTACCGACTGACAACCTCTTCTATATCATAGTAATTTATCTAAGTAGAATCTGGTACAAGAGTTTAAAGGAAATTCTTACGTAACTCAAGAAGTTTGGACGAAAATGTTCGTTGATCACGAAACCATGACGTGTAAGACAAACGAAAATGTGTTGGCGTCTTTTCATCAACCAACACCCGATCACAAACAAATCAAAACAATAAACTGATCAAAACTGAAAAATTATAAACGAAAGCATATTAGCGTATATTTTAACAACCAACATCCGATCAAAACAACAAACGAAACAACATCGATCAAAACACAAAAGGCTTTTGAAACGAAAAGAATGTTGACGTCGACAAAATAATTATAAAAAACTATACAAAAAACTTGAAAAGCCTCTAGAACTAGAACATGGTCACTATAAACGTTTTTAATCAATGTCACTGAGCTGAACCAGTCACAAGAAAATAATAACACTATTAAACAACTAATCCGTATTATTTGATTTACCATTGTAAACTTTGCGAAATAAATTCTACCTTGAGCGATAGGAAAGTACTATCAATCCGAAACCATGATCACTAATAAAGCTGTACGGTATTACAAAGTTTTATTTTTTAACACATATTTTCTTATTATATGAACTCGAGAAATGACTAGCATCATTAGGTCTTTTGGACAGTCAATAATATAAATAGTTCGGAAAATTAAGTAACAAAATTGTTTGGTTGATCGAACCGGGGCGCGGCGCGGCATCTCGTATTACGGAGCGGCAGAAATAATGAACTAGCTTAACAGAATATGATGGTGTGTTGTTTAACAGTGTACCAAGTGGTAATGTGATCAGTTGAATAAGGTGCATTGACTTGTATCTTTAAAACTTGCGTCTTAAAGATGCATAGGGCTATGGATTATATTACGGTATATTACTTCAACCATGGCGTATGACTACATCAAACTACATACGACAATTTTATTTTTAATCACCTAATATTTTTAAGATAAGCTACGTAAGATTTGCTCGATTTGTTACTGTGGCCAATAAAGTTATTTATATAAAATTAACGTTTAACCAGTAATCTAATATATCCAAAATTCGTTTATAAAAGATTTAACCTAAATATTGATGAAAACACGTTTAATAAAGTATTAACTTAACAGACAAATGAACATTCAAAATAGTGTAATAGTAAAAAAAAGTTGTGAGCTAAACAGTTAAAAATATTTAAATACTAACTACACTTCATTTTGGGTAAACAAATAAAATGGCACCATAATGATTATTCACTTGACATAAAGATAACTAAGATCCTTATACTGCTTAATCCGTGCGTTATATCTAAGGCATTACTATTTTTGTAACTATTTGTTTTGTTAGTAATTTAAACGAAACTAAACTATAGCAAATTAAAATAAACTTTGTGGTTAATCACTTTGATTGAAAAATAAATACTGCTTACAAAAGCAGTCAGTTATCGTACTGAAAGAACCAATGCAGAAAAATAAGTATTAAGACAATAAGACATTTTATTGACCGTTAAGTAAATACAAAATACAATAGGTCTTGTCAATTTTAAAAATAGGCCTAATTTAGTTTTAGTAGCCTAATTAGCCTAATTTAGTAGCCTATTTAGTTTGATTCACCTAGAAATGACATGTTTTAGTGTTACAATATTTGCCTGAATTGTTTTCACTTCTAAATAGTAAACGCTTTGAACTAACTGGCAATTTAATTCAAGACTTCATGTAATGTAAAATGCATTTAGTTAGTTTACGCATTTATACAACAAAGTATATTAAACATTTTCAGGATTGATAATATTGGATGAAATGTACATCCACTAATGGATTTAGATGTGAAACTATTAGACAGACCTAACTATTTTAATATTAAAGTTAATTTTGTTTTACTAAAGATAATTGTAATGATAACTGGTTTACTATATTGTAATGTTATAATATTGTTATTTATTATATCACAAATTATTTATTATCTTGAGCAAATAAGTGCATGCATAAGTTATTGTAAAATGGTTATACCGTTAATAAATAAATGATACGACTAGCACATTATCTTAAACATAATCTTAAACAGGCATCGCAGCACAATATCATTTGTAAACATATAAAAGTGTGACTAATACAATGAAATATTTTATAAATTCGTCTTAATCTAATTCGGAGTTTTAAAAGAATAAACTTTAATTGTGTTCACGATTAAACGTTATGCATCTGGTACAGTTTGGTTGAAAATCAATTCAAAATTAATAATGTAAAACTAGCCTTACTGAATAAATTCTGTAAATGATTTACTTATATTCATTATGTACTGTATTATGTAGTATAGTTGTATTCTTAATCTAAATGAATTATTATTTTATTCTTAAGGTAGCGGTCGCCTCGCCGCGCCGACGGAGCTTATAACTACCGACAACTTCAGTACCAGGTTTGACGATCGGGATTTTATAGGTCTATGCAGGGAAAACTTTTGAAACTAGTGTACTAACCAAGGGATCATATCAAAATAATAATATAAGATTGCAATTTAATTTATTATCCTACTTACGGACTATTAAGTAGGCTATTATAACGAGATTTGTATTCGAAAAAAATCATTTTAATACTTAACTTCGTTAGAACACTATACTTTATTCAGGTAAAATTATCCTTAAGGCTGATACAAGATTACTTTGAAAATGATGAAATTCGTTTATGTTTTCTAAGTGCAGTATATATTTTCACAAGCTTTCGTTGGTATAAAATTAAATTTTATGTAAAAAGTAGTCATTGGTAATTTGTCTGCATTGTCTGCAGTGGTCTAGCAATAACAGTTTTCTTACACTTCTTTTTATTATGCAAATTACATAAATAAATAGTTGGTAGATAAAAATCATCAGTATACAGGTAAAACCTGAGGTAAAGTCGTGCAAGTTTTAATTTAAATTAAAACCTTAACTACGCTTTTTAGTCACGTTGAAATAATTGAATAAGTAACTTACAATTTGAAATTAAAGCTTACTTATAACCTTATTATTGAAAAATAACTAAACTCACACGAACAAACTACGAGAAGCGCTCTGAAAACGAAAGCTGTGAAGAGACAAGATAGAACAACTTAAAACACAATAGCTCGGCCTAAATAAACAATAAATCCATCAGCCCGCGACGAATTGGTCCTTTAAATGTCTTCTTTCGCACTTAACTGCAGTATAACCATTCGAGTCACGTCACTAATCGTGTCTTGTTTTGACTGAAAATATCGGGGTTTGTTTATTTTTTGTGAAACTAGGCCTAGTGTAATTTTAATTTTAAAAGCATTAAAATTTTTTACAGGCCAAATTTACCTAGATTTTTAATTTCTTTCAAACTTGAACATTGTGAAAATTTACTTGTATTTGATTACGAAAATGAATATAAAAATCAGATATATTCTTTGGGCGGTTCCAACGGATATGTAATACATTAGATATAAAAAATGTTTCAGCTAATCACTGTTAAATGTTTACGCGTAAGCTATGCCGTTACTTTGATGCTATCAATTTATTTTTACTAAATATTTTAATTAGTATATAAAGCATAGTGACTTTACAAAAATAAAATAGTTGCTAATTTTTTTAACTTATTATAAAACTGACTGATTATAAAAGTTACGTTACGTCTGAGTATTAGATATGACTAAATCCCGTTCATTGGTTCTAAACGGTTCACCAACGCATACAACTACCGTATAAATGTTATGTTTGTGTATACTAGGTAATTTGAAATTGGAGTATAATTTAACGCAGCGTGAACACGAAATTGTAGCCCAATTACGTTTAAAATGTTTTTTTGCTAAATATTACGTTTCCATAACTAATCAGCAACGGATCTTACAGCAACGCTATGGCTCGTCGGTTTAGTATTTTAATATATAAAATAAAATTTATGAGTTATCTAGAAAATGCAAGAAATATGCTACCACTGTAATATAATATATTGTAATATTGAACTCATCATATTGTAACTTAACTCGTACATATTAAACTCATATTATATTTTAGTATATAGGTTAGAGTTGGCCAGACAGCCGAAATAATTTGTTATTAACGTGTCATGTGGGTTGAAATAATGAACTGCTTCTAACTAAACGGAAACTGGTTTTGTATTGAGTCTTTAAAACAATAAGCGAAGACACGGAGAGACGCTTGCAATATCAACAATCGGCAAAGTGTCTCATCCTTACTTAACACTGACAGTTTAATGTAATACTTTAAATTTAATCCTTTACTGTTTACTAAATTATCTTCATAACAAACTTTTATTTTTACGTATATATCATTACTAACAATTGTTTGCAAGAATCGTTCTTGAATGTCATCAAGGCAAATTACGGCCAGGATTTAATTATAACATTAAAACACAAATTGAACTACTGAACTGTAATTGTAAAAAAAATACTTTTTATGACTACATTAAAATAATACATCTTATGATCCGAACAAATGTGGACGAACAGTTATTACGATTGATTACAAACAAACTGAAATTGATTATAAATGGATTTAGGCACATAATTTGTTCAGAGTTATATTTTATTTTTCAAATACAATCGATTAAGAATGACCGATATATTCAGTTGTTTTATGCAAATTTGGACATTTACAACGGTCGATACTGCAAGCCCTAAAGTGAATATCTGCAGTCCGGCCATTGTAAAGTTAAATAAAAATGTTTGAAAAAATATTATTAGAGTAATGAGAACGAGCTAAGTGTCAGACTTCGATCTCAAGCTTTTAAGTTTCTGTCGAGGTCGAGTCATCTTAGTTAACAGAGCAGATCGCGCGTCCTCGGTGTCTTCGCTTGTAACAAGTCCCTATTGGGTTCCCTAAGTCCCTAACTTCTCCTAGTAGTGAATCTGCACAGGACTTACCGTCTTTGGGAGGCGATGGACACTGGGGAGCGTAAGATCCTAAGTGATATCCCGAATACGAGTTCTGGTGCATCGGAGGGAAAGGATAAGCGGAAAGAGCTGTCCTAGGACTTGCGAAGCCCGAAGGGTCGACACCGTGATGGTGAGGGCCCGAGCCGGAGTTGGGTTGTCCTCCGGGTTGGTGAGGGTTGAAGTGGTGCGGATGGTAGGCTGATCTGATGCCCGAAGGGTTGTACGGGTGCTGCTGTAGCTCGATGAACGCCGACTTGGACGTCGGCACTGGGGTGATGGTCCCCGAAGAGCCGGAGTCCTGGTGGTTCGGAGGACCGTTCCCAGAGCCCAGGAGGTGGTGATGGTGTGACTCCAGAGCGTCCCCTGCCATGGTCGTGGGTGTCGGAGTGTTAGACCCTCCGGCACTGCCGCCCGATCCGAAGGGGCTCCCAAGATCCGTGTAATTCAGCGTGGTCGGTTTGTCCGGACACGAAAGGTTGAAACTCTCCTCTAGGGAGTCGATGGTTCGCGACACTCACTGTCACTGACACTACTAGTCCGAGATCCTGGGTCCCATGTTAGCGGCTACGACCTACCAGACTACAGGATATTCGCAACACCCAAACTATCATAGTTCAGGAGACGACGCGAAATAAAATATAAATAAAATTATAAATTTATCGAAACAGACAAAGTATAAAGTACGAGTGTTTGGTCGGAAGGTCCGGAAGACCGATTACCTGGGATAACGAGGTAGTCCGCGTAATAGTCAATGATTACCCATAACAATCACAATTACATCGAAACAACAATTATCCATAAACGGAGTGGGCTTATCAATCCTGGGAGTAGGGATTAGGGCTCTTCACTATCACTCACTGCACTTCTCGCGTCATCTTCACAATTTTGATTTCGATTACACTCAGATTTTCGTAGAATAATCACAGTTATCGGAACAACGGGTAAACACGGTCGAGAGCGTAGGCCGCTGGAGAGGTGCGCACTGCAGTCCACAGACGGAGTCCTTACGCGGCAAACACTTCCGAACTTGAGATCCGGACGAATATTCTATTTATCAAAACGAAAAAAACTTGATTCGAACGGAGGAACTGACGTGCCGCAACGGAGTGCGCGCGGGCCGCAGGACGTGCGAGGCGGGCTAACCACTTAGAAATGAGTATGAGCGCGGGCTGCGGGGCCGGGCGGTTGGCCTTGGACAGTTCCTCAGAGGCCCGTAGGGCTGCAGCACCGTCCGTCGGGTGGCTTGGGGCGGAGCCGGCCTCTCTAGCCCCTCACAACACTATTGGCCGACCACATTTAGCTCCTCCTACTTTTATCGAACATTATTTTACTTGCAAAGGTTGAAATGTGTTTAGTGTCCCCGTCTACAGCCCAGATATAGGAACAAACACCTCTACGTATTCCCCCTTACCAGATCTGCCACATCTCTAGTAGGTTATTTATTTTCGCTCTTTTTCGAATCTAAAGATTATGTTACCCTAAAGTTTGAGATGCACGGATTTTCATAGATAACTCGTGTTCTTGCTCGAACTCCTTATCGTTGTTGTACCGATCTCAAGTGGAAGGTTTGCGAGATAAACTTACAGTATTGAGAAAATCTTACGAACCCGACAGAGCTCACCGAATCGTTCAGTCAACTAATTTGACGATTAGAGAGGTATCCTTTACTCCAATTTAAAAAATAAACCGTTAGAGTTAGACATAATACTATTACAATGGCAAACGCATTGTGAATCGGCCCTACTTATCACAAATAAATACAAACCAAAACGAGCATGTTTAGCACTAAAAACAAATTACAATAATTTACGACCATATAACTATATATTTCTATATATTCAATATACTCCTTCCGGCGTCAACATTAGATAGGAGAGTTTAAAACGGAAATGTTTTAAATTGATTTATTTCAATCAAATCAATGCAATAGTCGGAAAACAAGTAAAAGACAATAATTGAAATGCGAAAGATCTTACGCGTTTCTTTAATTTCTTACGTGGTTCTTTTATTGTAAATTATTTAGCTTATTTACCAGCATTTGTATTTACCTTTACATTTTAGGGGTGGTTTAGGTTTAAGTTGTGTGTTTGTCTCAAACTATGACTTAAACTTTCGATCTCAATTCTAACTCAGCATTTGATTAGCTTAAAAAAAAAATTTATACAATAATGAATTGGGAACGAATTGTCATCTTGTTGGTTAGCCATTAAATTAATGTCTTAATAAATATCTTTAAAATTGACTATTATCGTCCTTTCGGGCACCAATGATGTGATAAATTTAGATTGTCAAAAGGTTTTTCAGCAAGCTGTAAATTTGGTTTATTTCCCATTAACTTAGGCTACATTAAGTAGGTAATGAAATAATTTTAATATCTTGACACTAATATTAAGTACATATTGGAATTCCCCTTACGTTTTGATATTCACTTGGACTTGTCCGAATGTTTGCAGGGCTACCGTTTATTTGGTATTTTGTTATTTTGACACATTGGGTGTAGGTGCGAGGTTAAATATTTTTTAGTCTGGTTTTAGTTTAGTTTTTTTAGTTTAGTCTGTCTATATGTTATAAAATGTTATGAAAGATTCAGTGCATAAAGTAAGAGTGGTTACATTTTACGTAATATAATACAATACGAACAATACAATGTCAATACATTGAGCCAATTAAAGTTGGTTGAACCTGTGCTATTAGGTAACACGCAATGATTTGTACGAAAAAAAATCTGTCACACTGGAATGTAACATATACAATAATTTAACCATGTAGTTTAATACCAAACAATATTATATATAGGAAATGTGCATATAATTGCTATCGATTGAAATAAAATTAGAACACTTCTAATCCATAACAATTTGGTTTATTATGACGGTATTATGCTATCATTTTATGACAGTCACGGGAATGATTACTATAATAACAGTATACTTAATTATTCCCTTGTAATTCGTGAACGTGGACAGTGGACACAAGCAAGTGCCAAGTCAGTAAAACCCATTTTTTCTATTTCACGTACATATTTGCACTCGTTTGGGTTCAGTAACTTGCGACTTTCCCCTGGACTCACGATTTTAAAATTCGCTATTAGGAAATAACGGATTCAAGGTAGATAATAACACTAATCTTTATTTTAATTCTGTGTTATTTATGTTTTTGGTTTTATTGGTCTACTATGGACAATTCAAGTAAATGATGATTATTATATCGAATAAAAGCGAATAAATCTGCCTATAAGTGTTCTTAACAAAATATTTAATACAAAGCCAGTACATTTAAACACTTTTTTACTATAGACATTAAGTTAACACAGTTTAATCTTCATTTGAAATGTACCTGGGACCTGTGATAAGTTTTCAGTATTGGCCTACAAATGATGGTTTGTATTTGATAGAAAACTATATATCTAAGAGTTATTGTTAACCTGGTATATAGAGTTTAGTGGTTATAAACCTAAAGTGAACAGTTTTGTAAATTTAATTCCACGTTTTCGTTTCTTTTATCAGAACACAAAGGAAACACTTTGTATAAATTGTTATTTAAATAAAATTTAAAAATTTAATTGGAAAACATTTATCATTTGAATAAGGATAGAACTAATGAATTGAATTGGTGTTTTGTAGTTTATATCGACTATGGTAAGTACGAGGTGCTGGAGCGGAAAACCTGGCGCTGACGCTACCTGTGGACGCTACTGGGAACTACTACAACATTACGACATTACAGAACAATCTTTACCAGTTTAGTACAAAATGCAATCGAATTCAAAATTAACAAAAGAATTGAATCGAATTGACTGACGATATGCGTAACAGCTAGCTCTCATACAAATGATTAATTAATGTCGACTTTTAATTTTTAATTGTAAAAAAATGCCATAATAAACACTTAAAATGTTTGTATGGTACTGGTAGGCCTATGCATATTTTGATTGATCTTATATATTAGTCTAGTCTAATGTCGTTGATCATGGCAATTCATTTTTGGCCTTAATTTAACACGTTCACTGCTAATGACGCACTTGTGCGTCATAAGTATATTAGCAGATATATAATACATAAAGTATATAATTACATAATATATTTTAATCCACAATTTATAGTATAAAATTTATTTAATTAAAGATATATTGTCACTCAATTAACATGATCATTTAAGTTCCTTAACTTAGACCATTACTAGCGATCATTTTAATGACAACTAGTGGTCGTCCAGTGGTCGAAACTCGACCAAAAATATGTAGGCTATTTTGAATTTTATTAGATAAAAGTGGTTGAGGTATGTTGGAATATCTTTGAGTGTGTACCTTTTTGGCTGTAGTGAGTGTGATCATGTGTTCAATGTTCACATATCAATTTTTGAGGTTAAATAAAAAAAAAAAAAAACTGGCATGTTGTCAATTAGGGACAATTATTGTTGTATTACTTACGAAAGAAGATTCATTTAAAATCAAATAAATTGATTTAGCATATGTCACTGTCTGATTTAGAAAACATTCAGTACTTTGGCTACTGCATTTTATAAACCAAACTCGAATCTTGCTCGGCCTATCGTATAACGTTTTCCTGTTGGGTACTTGGTAACCGTATTGCATAAGTGAATTATTAACGATATAATTTAGCTGTCAATTAATTATAATTTAAATGGGTCAAAACTCAAAACGTTAGTCTATAAAGGCTTATCTCGTCAGCTCAAGAGTATATAATTCTGACCCCTAACTTGAAACCCTTAAAAGGTGGGTCTGGTCATAAGAATTTCCAAACGAAACGTAAATTATCATTATGTCCCAACAGTTTATCATGTGTATCCCAGTCAAAGCAACTACATTATTCTATTAATATTATGATCAAAATTAATGTTGCAAGAAGATACAATATTTTAATATTTCCCCATGTTAAATAATTTTTTTTTTAAGTAACCATAACTTAATTTGAGGAAAATAATTAAATAACAATATATTCTTTAGTTGATTTAAAATTAGGAATCACGTCTCTACGTATTTCACAGTAAATACCCTGGAATCCTGGAATGACCAAGTAAAAATTTGACAAGTATGTACACATGATCGCACTAAAAAGGTTAATCTTCAAAGATATTCCACCACACCTTAACTGCTTTTAGTTAAAAAATCCAATTGCACTGTACAGACTTCTCTATTTTTCACCCCATACTGTAAATAAAACATGTGATTGGCATTTCTACTATTTGTTTTGATTTTCTGTTTATATTTCGTCACCAGCATGGAAACCCATAAAGCCCATGTTATTTTTTTTTCAAATTCATTTTTTGTGCTTATTTCTGAGCCTATTTTAATTTTTAAAGGGATTCCGCACACCTACAGAAAAATATCTTTCTAACAGCATGCGTAGATTTTTCCTGCGATGCACACAAGCTGAGAAAAAAGGTTTTAAATAAACATGCTTGCCTATTAATATATAGATAGATATTTATACTCCACATAGTATATAGATTGTGTACGCAATTTACTATTGTATACGTTGGTGTGGATTGTACAATAAACCTTTGGGCTAGGTTTGAACTTTATTGAACTTGATTTCTAATTAAATATTATTGATGCAGTCATTAAACCCATTTTAGACATTTGAAATTTTAAATGAGCCGCCACACAGTCTTTTAGCGAATCTACCTATGAGGCGAACTATAAAATAAGGCAAACACTATTACCGTAGGTGGCACGGCAAGGCCTAGACCCTGGGCCGATTTACTTTTTCATTTTGATGTTCCCAGAGGTCAAAAGCAATATTCGTTGAAATATATAATCTACGTTGAAACCTATAACTCTAGTAATTTTGGTCAGATAAAAAAAAATCTGCATGAACGTGTAGGGCTGTATGGATACACTTGAATGAGATCGAGAACCAGCAGGATTGGGGCATGGGCACAGGGGTTATAGAGTGTTTATAATCTTTCAAAAAGATTTTTCAGTTTTTTACCCTTTACACATAAAAATGTCGAATAGTCACTAAACCATCCTGTATATCCTAAAAACAAAGAGTAATTATAGGATTGGAGGTTAAGGAGAAAATTCTAAATGAAACTGTACATTGAAAATTCTCATGTTACTCTTGTGGGGCAAACAATTGTAGTTGTAGTTTGCTTATCTATGGCTATATTTTGATAAGTTTCAGCGAATAAATTTATTTCAAACTATACTATTACCACCAAACCTGTTTCCATGTAGTACAATACCTAGGCCCTCGTTTACTACTACTAAAATAGCAAATAAATCTGACAAGTTTAAGGAAATACTTCTGTCAAAATCCAATTAGACACACGCAAATTCACTAGTCAGTAGGTTTGCTGGGGCGGGGGTATTTTATAAT